GGGATTGAAAAGAAATATAAACAATCATGACGTTACGTTTCACAATTAATGTAAAATTACTTTGATATTTAAAATTTATCGATCAAATATTATCATGGCTGCACTTCAACATTTCCAAAAAAATTTAAATCATTTAAAACGAATATTTGTAACTTATAATATTAAAAAAAAGGCTTAGTCGAGCCATAAATCCATTTGGCTCGACTCAGCTTATGAGCAGCAACCACCAAGTGATTCTTTTATTTATGTAGAAAAATTTGAATCAAACATTCCTTCATAAGATAATATTACACGTAAATTTAAAATATTTTCTTACTTTTTAATTGCTCATTCTCTTCAAAAAATCACAATTGTAATATACAATTTTTCCAAAAATCTCATTTTAATGGAGCCCAAATAGGGGCGAAACCTTTTTGGCTCAAGTAGAAATCAATTTTTTGGTAAATTTTGATAAAAGTTAATAGAATATATGTGATTGAAATTAATAATTGACTTTAGTTTAAATTCTAATCAATTTTTTTAATTGAATCAAACATGGGCTTAGATTTTATTTTCGTCTTTACTATACACAGGTCTCATTTTCTTCAATGCCCCGATTTAGTAAATTTTTGGTTTGGTCTTACAGCTGAGCAAAGCATGATAAAGAAAATATTTCAAGCACGATATTTTATCCATAGGATATCTAGCATATAGCCGAACAATGGACATGCATTCCTCGAGTGGCTGACGAACTAGTCAAGTTTGATGGCAACAATGGCAATCTCTTATGAACAAATTTAGGAGCCGGAGTATAGCAAAATGGACAGCAATACATCTATAAAGAAGAAAGCATTAAAACCTAAGGGATGTGAAGGTGACAATAGGAAGAAGACTGTGGCCAAGGATCATACAGCTCGTGACAATGATGAAGCAATTAAAACGACCGAAGAAGAAATAGATAAAGCTTATAATACTGTAATTCGTGTCTTTGCAACTGCTAAGGGGTCTTGCCATAGAGAGTACAAGGTGGAAAATGACATTTTGTCCTTT